CTGATATCAGGGGCTCAAGTGGGAAGAGAATGCTTTGCAAATGATGATGGCAGCGGGTGTATAAGTGTGCCTTACAGAATTGATCTATGTATTGTGATGAATTGTATGAGCCCCAATGAAATGATTTTTAAAAAAGAAAAGAAAAAGAAAATGATAATGGCAACATATGTGCAAATGGGCTTGGCACATTGGAGGAATGTACGGATTGTGATAAGAGATGTAAGAGTCCTCAATAAAAGTATTAAAAAAAGTAAATGTTTAGAAAATAGTGATGGTGACATATGTACAAATATGTTTGATACAATTGATGGATGGATTGTTGTAAAATCAGTAAGAGCCCACAATAAAGTGATCTTAAAAACAAAAGAACAAACAAAAGAAAGGGGTGAGTGGCACCTAACGCCCTTTTGAAGGTGGGAGTGGGAAACAATTCTCGGGCAGGGGCTCTAAGAACTGAAATGAGTGATTTATGTGGGTGGACAGATTTCTCTCACCTTTCAGTAAGGTTATACCCATCACTAAGGAGCTGGGAGAGCTACTATCCTGAAACCAGATATACAAGAGGGGGATTTTGCAGTTCACTCCACAATTTCCAAGACTCTGAGAACCTTGGTCTTTGGATTGGGATCCTCAACTACATTCCTCCACGTTGGTGCTTCGCTTGTTTTCACAGGGAAGTTTGTGGGCGTTTATTTATTTGAATGATTATGGGACATGGGAAAGCAGAAGAACCAGAGTCCTTGTGTCCTCAGTCTACTTCTGAGGGCGTCCGTGTCCTCTGTGCTTCAGTTTACTCAGCTGAAAATAGGAGCTCTGGTCCAAGAGATTTGCTGAGGTCTCTCTCTTTTTCTTTTATTTGGCTTTATTTTTTAATGTAATTAATAGTCCAGCGGAGATATCACTAGCCTGAAAGACAGGGTCAGTAGTGAAGGGGAAAATGAATTAAAAAATAGTTTTATTGGCATAAAATTAATATATCATACAATTCAATAGTTCAATCATATTTTAAAAAGTTGTACAATCATCACCACAATCAGTGTTAGAACATTTTTTTCTTTCTTTCTTTTTTAATCATTTTATTAGGGCTCATACAACTCTTATCACAATCCATACACACATCAATTGTGTAAAGCGCATTTGTACATTCATTGCCTTCATCA